GGGCTGCTGAACTTGGTCTTCCACTTCTCAAAGTCTTTCTTGTACTCTCGGTCACTCTGGATCTTGGCCACATGCATGGACCACATCATCTTTGGGTCGTCATGTATCGCTCGGGCACCAATGTGATGGCCAAGCTGCTTACGATAATCTTCTTTGTATTTGAACTTGAAGAAGAAAAATACTGATAGTCACCTAGTATAACTTTTAGTATAAAATGATTAGTAGGCTCAGATTTTCCTATTCATTAAACACGTTTCCCCCGAATATATAAATAATATGTGTGTCTGCATCTTGTAAACCATTTAGAAAATAAGGCTTGTATATGTATACAAAAAAGAAAATAGACCCCTGCGCCTGGCCAGACCCCATGTCGCCCTGCGCTCAGCCATTGTGCGCCCTTGTGTGTTCCGCCTCCGCAGTGCCTTAGGTGCTGCTCTAGATGGGGGTGGCAGTCAGCATGTCACCACTGGGTGGCCTCGTGCATGCACCGTCAGGCCCCGGGGAGCACGGGTTAAAGATGAAGGAACTAAGACCCAGAAAAGTGAACTCATATATTCAGAAGCTCTCTGTTTGAAGATTACACAAGCTTTGTTGTCACCAGATTGCAAATAAACTTATTTTAAAAATAAATGAGGGGAGACCTTCAAGATGGCGGAGGAGTAAGACGTGGAGATCACCTTCCTCCCCACAAATACATCAGAAATGCATCTACATGTGCAACAACTCCTACAGAACACCTTCTGAACGCTGGCAGAAGACCTCAGACTTCCCCAAAGGCAAGAAACTCCCCACGTAGTTGGGTAGGGCAAAAGAAAAAAGAAAAAACAGAGACAGAAGAATAGGGATGGGACCTGCACGTCTGGGAGGGAGCTGTGAAGGAGGAAAAGTTTCCACAAACCAGGAAGCCCCTTCACTGGTGGAGACGGGGTTGGCTGGGGGGAAGCTCTGGAGCCACGGAGGAGAGCACAGCAACAGGGGTGCAGAGGGCAAAGCGGAGAGATTCCCGCACGGAGGATCGGTGCTGACCAGCACTCAAGCCTGAGAGGCTTGTCTCTCACCCGCTGGGACGGGTCGGGGCTGGGAGCTGAGGCTCGGGCTTCGGAAGTCAGATCTCAGGGAGAGGATTGGGGTTGGCTGCGTGAGCGGAGCCTGAAGGGGGCTAGTGCACTACAGCTAGCTGGGAGGGAGTCCCGGAAAAAATCAGGACCTGCCTAAGAGGCAACAGACCATTGTTTTGGTGCACGAGGTGAGGGAATTCAGAGCACTGCCTAAATGAGCTCCAAAGACAGGCAGGAGCCGTGGCTATCAGTGCAGACACCAGAGATGGGCATGAAATGCTAAGGATGCTGCTGAAGCCACCAAGAAGCCTGTGTGCAAGCACAGGTCACTATCCACACCTCCCTTCCAGGGAGCCTGTGCAGCCCGCCACTGCCAGGGTCCCGTGATCCAGGGACAACTTCCCCAGGAGAACACATGGCACGCCTCAGACGGTTGCCACGTTACACTGCCCTCTGCCGCTACAGGCTCGCCCCGCATCCGTACCCCTCCCTCCCCCGGCCTGAGTGAGCCAGAGGCCCCTGATCAGCTGCTACTTTAACCCCGTCCTGTCTGGGCGAAGAACAGACACCCTCAGGCAACCTACACACAGAGGCGGGGCCAAATCCAAAGCTGAACCCCAGGAGCTATGCTAACGAAGAAGAGAAAGGGAAATCTCTCCCAGCAGGCTCAGGAGCAGCAGATTAAATCTCCACAATCACCTTGATGTACCCTGCATCTGTGGAATACCTGAATAGACAAAGAATCACCCCAAAATTGAGGCGGTGGACTTTGGGAGCAATGATATATATATTTTTTCCTTTTTCTCTTTTTGTAAGTGTGTATGTGTACACTTCTTTGTGTGATTTTGTCTGTAGAGTGTTGTTTTTACCATTTGTCCTAGGATTCTGTCTATCCGTTTTTTGTTGTTTTTAGTGCTTGTCATAAGTGGTGGATTTGTTTT